TATCTATCTATCTATCTATCTATCTATCTATCTATCTATCTATCTATCTATCTATCTATCTATCTATCTATCTATCTATCTATCTATCTATCATTTCTTTCTTTCTTTCTTTCTTTCTTTCTCTGTTTTGCAGCGCTCCCTTGTGAATGGAGGCCGACTAGTGGCCCATTAGCCCGTCTCATCTCAGTAATCTTTCATCACCATTGGCTGCTGGCAGGACAACCTTCCTGAATCCAGCCAATGGCGGTCGCTCCATATGCACCTAAACCACTCCCTCCTGTTCTTAAAGAGCCCCCTTGTCTTCAATGGAGACTCAATCCCCCCTCGCCGACTTACTCAGCCTGAGTGCGCTCTCACTGCTGCTGCTCTCCATCCATCCCTCTTATCTTTTATTCTCTTTCTCTGTCCACCAATCCCATCATCTGTGTTCTACCTCCTCTCGTTGCTCACCGTTTCCTCTCTTCATCTCTTCCTGAGGTTCTTTTTTTGTTTTTTCCTCTCTCCTCTTTCTCGGACCACCACTTTTCTTCTCACCGGCCGTACTCCTGAGCCCGAGCGTGCGGCACCTGTGCAGACTGGAGTTTGTTGGGCCGAGGCAGAAGGTTTTTCTTTTTTTTTCTTCTTCTCTTTTTTTATTTTTATTTTAAGTGTGCAGGTTGAACACAGGAGGGAGGGGAAGCAGCACCCGGGACCACCTGACCAATATTTATTGAGAATATGAGGAGATTTAGGAACTGATCTCCTGCTTCAGCTTTTCCCCAGCTGTTTATCTGTTGTTGCTTTTGAATTTTTTTTAAAATTGCAACATCTGGAATGCTTAACAAGGACTGATGGATGTTTCCGAACTGTGTATCCCTGACCCTCTCTGCTACCACAACCAGTAGGTGCTTCTTTATACAAATCCCTTTTTTCCCTTCTTGGTTAGCTCATCTAAACTTTTCTGTCTCTCTCTAAGTTGATAAAAATTGTTTAAAAATGTTATAATTTGTTTCTTAAAAAAAGCAAACGAAACTATTTCCAAAGACAGGGAGTTGCTCTTGTTCATGTACAGGACATCAGAGCTGAGCGGTGGCTGCTGTGGCGTAGCCTGCAGGGAGACCGGGGAGCTGGTCTCTGTACAGCTCTCTAGCTTCTGCATCAGGATCCAGGGTTTAAACTCAGCTCGTAGGAGAGAGTCACAGGCAGATTAATGCAGCCGGTATCCCGTGCACTGTCCTCCAGCACCAGCCGGTGTCCCGGGGAAAGTTAGTTGTGACTGTACTGTGTAAGCGTGACACAGAAAAGTGTGTAACTGAAGAAGTAGATACATGTCTGTCTGTGTTACTGATACAGCTCATCTCATTTTATTGTCATTTATAGTTTTTATATAAAATTGGTGGTTATGATTAAATAACACTGAGAGTTTAGTAAGTTTGGTCACCTCCAAATGTGGCACAGTATGTGAGTAAAATGCAGTTAATACGAACAACAAAATGTGCACTTTAAAACTTTTTTTTTTCTTGCGCATGCATATGGTTATTGTGCATTTTCTTAGCTCAAAGGCAGGGATCAAGCAGCTTTTTTTCCCTAACAAATGAGAAGTTAAAGAAACTCTCAAATCTCATTTGGAGCTCCAGTCTTTATCATTGTTACAGTTCTTGGATACCTGGAAAGATTCACTGGGATCCTCTTAATGTTAATCTGTAGATGGGATTGGAAAGGTTTAATCTGCTAAGCACTTTTTACAGAACTGCGATTAAGGATATTTCCAACTCTGCAAGGCTCCACAAAAGAAAAAAAAAAGGGGGAGCATCTCCTGAAGTGTTAAACAAGTGTTTATTCTAACTGCATCCGAGCTGCCACTGCACATAATCAAAACAAATGAGATCCTATCGGTTTGTATTGGTTGAGCAAGTGAAACGACAAAGCAGCTTTGGTTAGAAGCTGTTCGCTCAGTAGAAGTATGTGTCGTTTTAATGCACTTTGCACATGCATCAAAAAAAGCTCATTTTGGTGTTAAGTGTATGTAGTTCTATTGATCACGAAATAAAATGTATACACTGCTGCTGCTGCTCATGATGACGATGATTCAAAGCACTTCAACACTTCAGTCAAAGGTGTCGTGCTCACCTTGAAGGATGTACATAAATTTGATTTATTCACTGTAATCAAATGAATCACACAAAATTCCTTTTGAAAAAGGATGTAAATCATTTCCAGGCTGGAAACTTCAACCACAGTTTTGTCAGTTGTTTTGATATTTTACATAAAAGTAACAGATCTCAATTAAATACATCTGTTTCAAGCATCGTCTCTGAAGGCTCTAACTTTTAATATCACAGTTAATTCGCGGTGCTTTTAAAACACACAATCGCAAGGCTTTTCATTTTTACACTCAAAAAACCTTCAAATGAAAACTCTGAAGTTTTAATTACATCTTTAAAAAAAAAAAAACTATGCCAAATAGAAATGATTAAAAATGACAAATCCTACGATATGATGCTATTAACCCATCGTGACCCCAGACTGTGTCTGTGTCCATCTATGTGTGTGTGTGTGTGTGTGTGTCTGCATTTATGTATGCAGATAAAAAAATATGCATGCGTGTGCTGACAAGTGAGTAGCTGGTTATGCATGCTATACCTGCATCCTTAAATACTTGTTAGGTCATATTTGATAGGCCAGCACTACACTAACACCACAACTCTACATATTTTTACTGGTTCTGCTTGAGATGAACGATTCTACACTTACAATTTTTTTATTTAAAAATGTATTTGTAAGCGTTAAAGTTGCATTAACCATGTTGTCCTACATTTTCCCACATCGAGAAGTCGCACGCTGAAAATCTGTGTGCTCAGTGTCACATATATCTGTGATTAGTTAGGTTTGCCTCTGCTTTCAAACCCTTGGAGACTTTTGCCTTACAACTATCATACTGGCCCGAGGTGAAAGGTCAAAGGATTTTAGTGCCCAGCTGTCAAACCACATTTCTGATACTAAAGCAAATACCTGCTTTGTCAAGAGACCAAAATATTAGTTACATCTAGTGATTTATTCTTTATGAAAATGTGCACGTCGGGATCGTGTTTGCGTGTTGTGGACCAAAATCACAATAAAATGCAGCTGTACATAATTGCATATGACCTACTATTTGCATCAGCCTCCACAGGTGCTCTCCACTATTTCTTGTCAGTCAGAACCATCTGCTTTAAAATTAATGGAGGCAGTTTTGAATTAAGAGTCGTCTTAGACACGTTTTTTTACACATATTGCTTTATTCTTCTTTTACAATAACTGCCTTTTTTAAATTATAGAAATTCTAATACTTATTAATTAACTTATTATTAACTGACAAAGGCGTCACATGAGGATTAAATATACTGCTTGCTCAAATTTCTTTTCAACTTGTTTTACCTGCTATTCCCACAGGTGTCCTCCCCAAGTAAACAAACAGGAATGCATAAGCGACCAAATGTATGCAGACACAGATAGACAGACATATGCACACACATGTAGACCAAAGAATCACACACTGACCTGGGATCTAATTTTAGCCGTCCGATACATAGAAACACCTGACTGTGTCTGTTAAAGAGGAGCACATCATCTTATCATACATTGCATCTGTAATTTGTTACGCTTAACACACGGGTCTTGCTGTGATTAAGATGCACCCGCCATTTATTCTTTATTTGTTTTTACTTAACACTTCACGTCTTAACACGTCACATACGGATGCTTGAGGTAAAATTAATTTGATTGCAACGGAGTATTTAAAACCCTGAGCATAAGGAAAATAGTACCTGGAGTTGCCAGTTGTTTAGGGGAATTCAAGCATTACAAATTTGCAGTGAGTGCAGTTCACTATCTGCAATCAGTGTTTTTTGCAACATAGAACATGTAGTGGCAGATTTATTTCCATCCATTCGTGATCGATCTTGCACTCATTGCTTCTTTCGTGTGCTGTCCAAGGTTCGAGTTTGAATATTTCACTTTATGTGTACTCACAGCTCCCGGCCACCTTTTCGCACTTCACCAGTCACCGTTTGGTTTGTGTCAGACTGCTTGAAAAGGATCCAAACCTTACACGAGGGCTGTGATCTCTACCAACTTTGTTTGATAGTTGGCTGATCTGACCAGCAGAACTGACTGGAAAGCCAAAAGAATCCACTGACGGATGGAGGGAGCAGGTGGTGGGAAAGTGCTGCATTGTGTTGAAACTGTGGTGAGGGGGGGAAAACAATCTGCTTCCTTCCAACTTCACCACCAGCTTTGAGTTTTCATAAAGCTGACAAAAACTGGCCGAGATAAAAACAGCTCTGAACGTGTGAAGTCGCTGCTGTGTTTTCTCATGACTGTCGCGTTCACTGTTAGCAGTGGCTACTCCTTACGAGCCGAGCTTTGTTGGTTCTGTGTGATGGCATGAGGGGAGAAATAGCTTCATCACATGTCATGACCGCCCCTCTTGTTATAGATATATCCTTTAGGTGGCCTGTTAAGACTCTGAGTTCATCAGGCTGGAGATGGACACCTTTTTTTTCTTCACCTGCTGTTCAATCAAACATGAATGTGCCTTTCAAGTGCTCAGGCTGAGTGTAAGCAGCAGTGAGAGGACTTCTTAGAAGGAGTTTGTTTTATTGATCAAATGAAATTAACACACACACCCAAGGAAAGAAGCAGTGTGCGTCTAATCATGGAGTGCGGGTCAGCCGGCATGTTTAATTTAATGGGCCTCATCGTAGCTTCACGAGGTCTCACATTGTGAACTTAATTCCTCTTCACCACGTTAATTTGCATTGTGTCAATTGACCGGAGCGCTTACTGTATCAGCTTGAGTCTCACTTGAAATTCAGTCCATGCTCTAATACCATTAGGCAAATGCAAAGTTGTGTCATTTACACATTTGGGGGAGAAAAAAAGGGGGTGTGGGGGGTGGAAGGGGTAGGAGGGGTGAGAGAAAAGCCAATTTGTGCCGAACAAGACTCGCTTGTGATTATCAGTGGATGTTATTACTGTGGAGAAGCAGACGTTTGAAGGTTAGGTTTCTGGGCAGTAATTGAAATGCAAAATAACATTAGGATCGATGGCCATCTCTGTTTATTTATGAAATCAATATCGTAACTGTCCCTCATGAGTCCTTCTCTGATTCCCAATGACGGCTTAAGTCTCTGCTCGTTTATTCTTTCTCCCCCCGTAACCTCCTTCTTCTGTCTCTTTTTAAAAGGCAGTTAGGGGTGTGTTTGACTTTGCAGAGAGAGCAATTTCCTAGAGGTGCTGGATGTGTATGTAGATGGGGGTTGATACTCCAGGTAAGGAGACATCATCCATGTGGGAAATCTATGCAGTCTCTCCTCGTGGCAGTGACATTGAAGAGGCCATATGCTGGAAATTCTCTGTATGGTATGTGCATGTGTGTGAGTGTGTGAGTGTGTGCGTGTATGCGTGTGTGTTAGAGAGATAGAGAAGAAGAAACAAAGTATATCTATGTGATGCAAAACTAGTGCTGGGACTTACTACCTGAGATAAAACAACATTAAAACAAATATTTTTAAAAATGAAGGTGTCAGAGCAAAATAACTTACAGAATGACTTTCCAGCTTTGCAGCACAAGTAAAGGATATGCTTGGTTCCACAAACTTATCATCAAGCTTTAAACTGTGGTTTTAAAGCAGTTGCAAAGGAATACAATCTGATCCATTTTAAACCAGAATAACTCAGTATTATGTACAAGCCTGTGTGTGGAATGCACATAGTCGAACATTAGCATAAACACATATTAAATACACATGCAAGTACACTAAACATAAGCTCAAATGTATCCGAAAAAGAGGGAATAGATAAATCAGTCACACAACAATGCAAGAAAATCCGAACGACTTCAGGAATAAGATGCTCCGAAAAGAAGAAACCTTCACCCTTTAGAGGCAAATAGAGTAAATACTTCTTAAGATTAAACCTAAATGAATTTAAAGCGCTAAATCTTGTTGCAGCATTACAATGTGGGGCTACTTCAGTAGTTGGTAGATTTTTTTTGTTGTTGTCACATTTAACTGTAGGTTTGCGTTTCCTTGACTGAATCTGCAAGGTTGTAGCAGAAGATTATTAGAAATCCTGTTTCATGTGTTTGCTTCTATCAATTCAGCATATCACAGGGATAGCTCTTTTAAATGTGTATTCATTATAAATATATGAGGAAAAAAAAGCGATATTCGCAGCAGCGAAATTTAAGAACACACACATTTTTGATGACCTTCATTTGTGTCACCCGCATGTTGTTGTTACCACTTAACACTTGGAGACACACGCTACCCCCATTTTCCCACTCGCATGACCATTCATTTCCCAGACACCGCGGCCACTGACTAACAGTGTAATCTATGTGTCAGGCAGGAAGGGGCACTCCGTTTAAAGCTGATAGAGTTTGCCCCAAACAAGGACAGCCTATCATAGAAAGATTAATGAACTAATTTCATGCATGGCTCCTTGCCTCTGTCCTTCTGTGCTTCCATGTTCGACTGTGTGTTCAGCACCGTGATTTACGCTGTGTTCCCTGCTACAAGCTTAACCCCAAGCTCAACAATAATATTTCCTTTATGCGGAAAAGTACACGGTAAAAATTTGGAGAGCCGTATATATTCACTCCTTCACCCAAGACAAGGACAGCATGAGGTCATTTATGGAGAACTGTTTTAAATATGCATTTTCTTTTTCGTGTTTGAGTGGCGGTGTAAATTTATCATGCTGAAATTCAGGAGGCTAGACAACATATTTCATGGAGAAGAGGTGGATGGATTCGGGATTTATGTTGGGAAGCTGGGGATCTGCGGCTCTGCCAGCATGAGGAGGCATGCCAAAATACACACATGCACATGCAAACATCTGAGATTTCAGCTGCTCTGTCGGGACATTTTCCGCACCTATCTCATGTTAGCTTCAAAAAAGAAAAAATGGTCAATGATCTGAGCGTGCATCACAGTCCTGTCGCGTTAAACATTCTGGACGACTGTATTTTGTCGTACAGAGTAGTCTCTTGACGTGTGGTGGACAGACTGGAACGCGTGCATCTGCTGCTCCGTGGTGTCCATTGTGGGACTGTGTGGGCCTCTCAGAACAGAGAAGGCAGGTGACCTTCACGTCTGTCTGATGAGTCCTGCTTGTCTGCTCCGTTTGTACAATTTTTCTGCGCAGCGGAGCAAACACTACCCCATTAGGTATTAGGTGC